TAATTTGTTTAGCTGACAGTAGTTTCTCCTTTAGTCTTTCAACTAGAACTGGTCGAAATTCAACCACAAAAATGTCCTGTAGGAAAATGGGATTTAGTAGAAAACAATTTTTTTCCATGGGAAACTGTCTTTTGCAAATAAATAAATAAATAAATAAATTAAAAAACATTTTTTGGACAGGAAATTTCAGAATGAACAAAAATATTTAGTTTCACTTCAAACTGAAGTTTCCGTTTTGGTTTTAAAAAGCTGAAATTTTTTCAGAATTTTGAATTTTTTTTTTTTATCCTTTTGTTTCCCCATTTCCTCCCTTTTGCCACTAAGTACAACAACATGAATAATTTCCAGGTTTTTTCTCCTCGATTTTCCTTTTTCTATTTGCCAATTTTTCTAAAATGGGAGAACTTGTGAAGAGTTCCGGAGAGAATGGAATAAAAGGAACAAATGGGGTGGTGGTGGAAATGGACATTATTTTATTACATTTTAGAAAAAAAGGGAAACAGAAATTTTTTCAATATTTTTCAAACAAATTAAAAGTCCCATTTTGAACACTGAAAAATAGAAACAACTTTGAAATTTCAAATTTTTTTGCAAATTCCTCCCCCATTTTTTGGCTTTACTTTCAACAGACGTAACTGTTAGCATATAAGCCTGTTTGTTAACCTGAGATAGAATTTTGGGTTTGACTTTAGATATTCTGACATCCTTACAAATGTGTGTGAAGGACAAAGGACAAAGACACTGTGTGTGGCTTCTGCCTGGCCAGATGGGTTTGTTAGTATGATGGGAACGGATAAGAACAGAGAAAGTGTTACAGGGTGACTTTTAAAAACTAACTTTATATTTGTGGATAATCTAAGCACTATACCCAGATGTACAGACACTCTCTTTTCCCAACCTATGTATTATATAAATTTTTAACATTAGCTTCAATACAATTTTTAAATATGAGCACACACTGGAAGGCTGCCTGGCTCCTCTCTCAAGCCAAGGTCAAGCAACCAGTTAGGAGGGGCAAAGGGGAATTGTGGGGAGGCATAAGAACCACTAAAAACCAAAGAAATGCCTGGCCTTGGCCAGGACACAACCTCACTCCTCACCCCTCCCCTGGGGTACAGAAGAGGTGGGATGAAGACCTCAGACTCCCGACCCTCCAGAACGGAACATGACCACAAGTTGTAAGGGATGTGACTAGGGGCGCGCACTGCAGGTATATTTGGACCTGCTGAGAAGGAGGAAATGGGGAACCGGGACACAGGCAAGGCTCTGTGGTGTCGGAGCTGGGAAGGGGAGGTGTAACGATGCTGGTTCTGGTGGGACCCAACTGAGAGTGCCAATTCAGGACAAACTGCTTAAAGCAGGGCAGTTAAAACCCCATGCTGGGGTTTTACCACCTCTAAGGCAAACCAAACCAGCCAGCCAGAGAGGACTTTGATCTCACCCCACTGGCTAACCACAAGTCACACAAGCAATTCCCTTAGACACTCCAGTTTCCCAGTATCACCACCAGGGCCACTCGTTATGGGGACAAATGGCTATGAAAACCAATACCCCAGTAAAAGAAAAAAGGTTCTCTCAATCCCAAAGGACCAAGCCCCAAACCCAGGTCAATATACAAATCAGATCTTGCCCACAAATCACACTGTCGCCAATCCTTTAGAATCTAAAGGTTTATTCATAAAAGGAAAAAGATAGAGATGAGAGCTAGAACTGGTTAAATGGAATCAATGACATACAGTAATGGCAAAGTTCTTGGTTCAGGCTTGTAGCAGTGATAGAATAAACTGCAGGTTCAAGTCAAGTCTCTGGAGTACATCCACAGCTGGGATGGGTCATCAGTCCTTTGTGTAGAGTTTGTAGCAAAGTCCCTCCAGAGGTAAGAAGCAGGACTGAAGACAAGATGGAGGAGCTGCAGCAGCTTTTTATAGTCTCTTGCCATGTAGTCTCTGCTTTCTTTGTCCCAAGGACAAGCTGTCCATCACATGGCATGGAAAAACCTCAGAGTTCTGTCCATAGGCATGTCCCTGCATACCTTGCTGAGTCACAAGGCCCATCTGCCTTCTCTCAATGGGTCAATTGTATAGCTGATGGTCCTTGATGGGCCATCAAGCAGGCTAGGCATTGCTGACACCAAATTGTCTGCGGTGTCACCCAGATGCACAGCACAAGTTTGAAATACAGACAGGATAGAGCCAATATTCATAACTTTAACTACAACAATGATACACACATACAGAGAGCATAATCATAACCAGCAAACCATAACCTTGTCTTAGACACCTTATTTGACCCCCTTTATACAAAATTTGGTGCCACTACAGGACTTTGGTTGCAACAATGATCTAGACAGTTACTGATTCTGTCAATAACGTCACAAGGGGATGCGGGGTAAACACTCTGTGGCATGAGAGCTGGGAAGGGGGTCACGAGGTAAAGGTTCTGCATGTCAGAGCTGGAAAGGGGACGTGGAGTAAAGGCTCTGCGGCGTCAGAGCTGGGAACGGGGTCACGGGGTAAAGGCTCTGCAGCATCGGAGCCGGGAAGGGGGACGCGGGGTAAAAGCTCGGCGGCGTCAGAGCCGGAAAGGGGGACGCGGGGTAAAGGCTCTGCTGGTGTGTAGAGCTATGGATATCCTTGCTTGGAACTAACCCCAGCAAACATCGCATTACCTGCGCTTCGGACTTTTGGTCTCCTGCTTTCTGTCTGTGTGACAAGAACCAGGGGCGAGGCTAAGGGAAAAGCCTCTAACAATAACCACAACAGAATAGCGCGGGCAGCCACTAGAGAAATCTGCTGCCCCAGAGAAGGCTGGTCACTTAACACCTCACCAAACCCTACTGAAGTCATTGAAAAGACTCCTATTGATGTTGGTGAGCTTTGGAACAGGCCCTAGTGATATCGCTGCTAGACGTTGCCATGAAGAAGATCTGGGTTCTAAATATGATGTAAGTTTCTTGCTCCTGGGGTATCAGGAGCTAGAGTGCTCCAGAAATGGCATGAATTGGTGGGCTTCTGTCCAGTTCACATACACACGTTTCTAAGTGCCCTGCAAACTCCGATTTGTACATGCAAATAGGTGTCTTGCCAGCCACTCAATTTGTGCTCAGAATCCCTCTGTGGATAAAATTGGAGATTTATGATGTGACAAAATGTTTGTACCCTAACCTGTGCTTTCAACACTCGTCAGAGCAATTGTTGCTCTCATTTTAAAGCCTGTTTTAGAAACGTGGCCCTATTCACTAGGTGTGTTTGTGGAGAGCGTCTGTTCCCCAGTTCAAGTCTAGCGCTTCTGAGTTTGGGTTCTGCTGTTTGCTCCCAGAGGTAACTCTGGCCTGTCCAGTTCTGGATCCCGCACCTGCTGTCCTTCCTGTTGTTTGAAGGGTCTGGTTTTCTAGATGCCACTGATAACAGAATATCCTCATAATGCAAGATACATTCATATTCTAAACACCCAGTTAGGATTCTTGAAAATCCACTGGAAAATCGTCTGTCTATTGAGCATAGCGTTTGTTCTCCATAAAATATCGGGAGTTAAATTCTCTGGGGTTGCAATGACATGTTCCCGTGTGCATACATCAGGCTTTATAAAATGTCCCATAACTCACTCCGTGTTCCTGTCCTTGACTTGTGCTTTCCCTGTTTGTGTCTCGTCATTTCAGAAACAGCTGGAAACTGGGAGGCAGAAGATTGTGGCTGACTTTCAGCAACTGCGCCAGTTTCTGGAGGAACAAGAGCGACTCCTGCTGGCCCAGCTGGAAGAGCTGAATAAGGAAATTGAAAAGGGGAGGGCTGACTATGCTGCCAAACTATCTGAGGAAATATCTTCTTTCAGTTCCCTGATCAATGAGATGGAGCAGAAGTGCCAGCTGCCAGCATGTGAATTCCTGCAGGTGAGACGGTGTTAGAAACTCCCTGGAACCTTTCTCAGGGCAAGAAAGTCTCCTAACCCTTCACTTTTGGAGTGTAGGAGTGAATGGTCAAACATATAGTATTGCTAAAATATACATTATTTTTCCTGAAGGGGTTGATAAAATTCCCAGTAAAGTCAATGGACATATACTTCTTGAGTACAATGGGCATTGGATCAAGCCCTAAATGGAAAAAAAAATTGCATTTGAATTCTAGTTGGAGAAGACTCCTCCAAAAATGGCAAACTCCAAATTCTGTTCTCCCTGTCTCATAATGGAAGAACAAAGGGAAATTCAATAAAATTAGAAGGTGACAAATTCAAAACTGATCCACTGAACACTTTTTCACACATCACGTAATTAGACTGTGGAACTCACTGCCACCAGATGTTGTTGAGACCCAGCATTTAGCAAAACTCAAAGTGATCAGCTATTGATATGGATAACACAGTATCCAGAGTGATATTAAACCTCATTCATCACTAGACTGAGCCCTCTGATTCCATGTGCCGGGTGGTTATTCAAAGAGCTAGTGTGCTTCCACGTATAAACTTCCTGGGCCCAGATCCTGAACTTACAGCACTTTTCCAAAGGAGCAAAGGCAACACATTCAAAGTTTTTGTTTGTGTTAATAAATAACAAATAATTTCACTTTGAACCTCAAGTTATGAAGACAAAGTGAGTCCCCTCCAGAGCAGGAGGGATCCTTAGTATGAGATTTGGGACTGAATTTCCTTTTATCTTTTCCTCTAGGACATCAAAGGCACCTTGAGCAGGTAGGTGGCTCCTTCTCACTCTCCCTTTCACTTCACAATGCAGGGAAGGGATTTTGGACATGAGACCTGGCTCCCCATGGTCCAGTGGTGCAGGGTGCTGGGCTGGTTCCCAATCTCCCTCCGTTAAATCTAATCTTGGGGCTGTTGTCATTTTGACTAGACTCTAGAATAGAGCAGCCTGAGAAAAGAGTGATTGACCTACAGACAGGGTATTGATTTGTAGTGTAGCTGGTGGAATGGAGACCCCAGGAGATTGGGGATGGAGAATGGGTCTCTCATTTATAGGTCATAGACTCCAAACTCCACCTAGGTTGGTAGGGATGGAAAGTCAGGGCCATCTGATGACTATTCAATGAGCTGTTTGTTAATTGTTTCTAATTATGCAGTGAGCTCTATCCGTGTGCTGGGCGTGGCAAGAGATATGATGGAAGAGACATTCCCTGCTCTAAGGAGTTTATAATGTGCTATTATCAGTAGCACTATGGCAGTGCCTAGAGGCCCAAGGCAAAACCAGGGCCCAACATGCTGGGTGCTGCACAGACACACAGAAAGAGACAGTCCCTGCCCCAAGGAGTTTACAGTCTAAATAGACACAAGAGACACAGGGCGGAGTGAGGAAGGATTAAAATCGATTGAAGGGGACATTCAATAAAGACAAAGTGCTGCACTTTGGAAGGAAAAATCAAATGTACAACTACGAAATGGGGAATAACTGGCTAGGCAGCCGTACTGCAGAAAAACATCTGGGGGTTCAAGTGGATCACACATTGAAGGAGTCGGCAGTGTGATGCTCTTGTGAAAAAGGCAAATGTCATTGTGGGATGTTGTCCCACGTTGCTGTATTCACCGCAGGTGGTGCCTCCTCCTGGCTGCTCTGGGGATTAGCTCTCTTCTAGGTCCAACCCCTCCCCTTGCCGTCTCTCCCCCCGTTGTCTCGCTCTCACTCTGCAGCCTCGTCTCTCACTCCAAGAGCTGCAGCTTCCTCTTCGTGACTCAGCCCTGCAGCCAGGTCACTAAATGGTTTCCCCTTCTTGGGTGTAGAGTCTCACTGGTCCCACTGCCCAGGCAATGCCGCTCCATCAGTGGCTGGTAGGGGAACTCGAGCCCGCCCACTGCTCCAGGGTCCAGCTCAGAGACCGTACCACATGCAGGCAAGATCTGCTCTCTCCCTGGGCCGCTTCCTACTCACCTCCCATAGGCTTTCTTCTCCACCCTTCTCTCTTATAGGGGTTAGGCTAGAGGACCCTGGCAGTCCCTTCTAACCCTGTGATTCTAAGTACTCCCTTCCCCCAGCGCCAGGCTCCTAGCAAGCTATTCTTTCCCTGGGTTCTCTCTTTCCCATTCAAATGCACAGAGGGTGGCTGCAGACTTTCTCACTGCAGCCAGTTTCTGTTGCCAGCTTCCTGGCTTTATCCTAGCCCAGCCCCCACCTGCTCAGCTGAGCTTCATCGTCCAATCAGGGGTTGCTTCTCTGGCCTAAACCGCTCATGTGTGGCCTGTCTCCCTAATCTCCTCTTTCTCAGCTTCCTTCACTCTTTTCAGGGGCTGATGTAGGGTGAACACCCCACCACAGATGTATTAACAGGAGTGTCATATGTAAGACACAGGAGAACATTGTTCCACCCTTCTTGCCACGGTGAGGCCTCACCTGGAATCCTGTGTCCAGTTTTGGGCAGCACACTTTCAGAAAGATGTGGAAAAATTGGAGAGAGCTCAGAGAAGAGCAACAGAAATGATCCGAGGTTTAGAATGGATGAGCTGTGAGGAAAGGTTGAAATAAATGGGTGTGTTGAGCCTTCTCTTCTCTAGACTAAGGGAGACCCTGATAACAGTCTTCAGCTATGTCTGAGGCTGTTCTACAGAGAGCGGTGATCAGTTGTTCTTCAAGTCCCCTGAGGGCAGAACAAGAAGTAATCGGTTTAATTTGCCACAAGGGAGATTTACATCAGTGTGACGGGTTCCCGGGGCACAGCCTGGACTGTGGGTCTGCTGAGCCCTTCAAATCCCCAACCTGGGCTGCCTCTCGACTGTGATGCTGATGTCAAGCTACAAGCCTGACAGGCCCTGCGCTGACACAGACACCTACGGTCAGGGACATGCCCAGCTGTGTTACATGAATCCTCTCCCAGCCATTGATGAACCAGCAATAGAAGGCGCCACCCAGTTCCCCCCAGATCCAGCCCTGCCCCACAGAACTGCACCGACTCACACTGCTCAAGGCTCCCTCGGGCAGTGCAAGTTCATTCAGTAGTTTGCTGCTCCCTCAGTGTGGAGTGGACACACACTGGCCTTTGTAAGCTGAGAACCCCTGTGCTAGTGGACTGACCATTGTATGTATCCAAAGAACTAAATAAGAACATAAATTATCTTTGAAATGGGTTAGTGGGTCTCACGCCAGGTCCTGGTATGATGGGTATCTACATCACCACAAGGATTGTCACTAATTGTCTCCCTTAAATGGTGTACAGGATATAAGTCAGGTGATCCTGCTTACCCACACTCACAATCCAAGACCGAGGGGACATTCAGTGCAACTGAAAGGCAACTAGTGTAATGCTGAGAAAAGGAAATACTGTTTTTTTATTACACAATTCATTATTAACCTGTGGAACTCATTGCCCCATGATATTACTGAGTTTCATAAATGCATAAAGTTGAATGCCAAAAACAACTGTAAGATCATCACATTTGACCTCCTGTATATCACAGCACAGGCTCCGACTTTCTCATTTCCCTGTGGGTGTTAGACCCCTGCTCGGCCCTGGGCCCTGCCCCCACTCATCCCCTTCCCCCAAGGCCCCGCCTCTTCCTGCCCTGCCCTGCCCTGCCTCTTCCCACCCTTGCTCCTCCTCTCCCCCCAGCACCTCCTGCCTGCTGCTGAACAGCTGATCCCGGTGGGTGGGAGGCAGAGGGAGGAGCTGATCGGCAGGGCCAGCTAGCGGGCGGGAGGCACTGGGGGGGAGGGGAGAAAGCTGATCTATGGGGCTGCTGGTGGGTGCTGAGCACCCACTATTTTTTTTCTGGAGTCGGTGCCTCTGTATCACAGGTCCTTAAATTTCACCCAGTTATTCCTGTATTCAGCCCAATCACTTGAATTTGACTAAATCCTAGCTTGCGTTGACTAAAGCACCTTCTAGAAAGCCATTCAGTCTAGATTTAAAGACATCAACAGACAGTAACGCCTGAAACTCCCTAGAAGTGGGGGGGGCAGCGGTGCCCAAACCACGGCCCCAGCCCTGGTCTGCTTCTTCCCCCGAGACCCCGCCCCCTGATCGCTCCTCTCCACCCCCTCGCCCCATCACTTGCCTTTAAGGCAGGTACAAAGGCAGAGCAGAGCTCTCCCACTTTTAAAAGTGATGGGGCCACGGCCCCTGTGTTCTGGCGCCCCGTCAAGAGATGGAGAATCCACCACTTCCCTTCGCAGTTTCTTCCAATGGTTAATCCACCCGCACTCTTAACAATGTCTGTCTGATTTCCCATTGGAATTTCTCTGGCTTTAGCTTCCAGCAATTGGTCCTTGTTGTGCCTTTGTTTGCTAAACTGAGGAGCCCTTTAGTACCTAGTCTGTTCTCCCCATGACGGTATTTATACCCCACACTCAAGTGCCAGGGGTCTCTCAGTGCGAGGCATTTTTACCAGCCCTCACATCAGTTTTGTGGGTCTTCTCTGCACCGTCTCCACTTTTTCAACACCCATTTTAAAATGTGGACACCAGAACTGGATGCAGTTTTCCCATATTGGTCTCAGCAAGATGAAGGAGAAGCTTGTAGTGTCCAAGCTGGGATTGGACCTATTCCTGGGGCAATAGAGACTTTAATCCTCCAGGGTCTGCTGAGCTACAACCATTCACTAGAATAAAATACATTTTAGTAAAAAACAAATATGACCGAACTCCACAACGAGTAACACTGGGTTGTTCTTCAGATGCGAGAGGGAGAAGTTTCAGAACCCAGTGGCCTTTTCTTCAGACCTGAAATGGAGAATCTGGGCATCTTCTCAAAGAAATGCATCTCTGGAGACCATAATGAAGAAATTCAAAGGTAATAAACAGTCTCCTGGGGGATTTTCTCACCTATGTTACACTGATAATTGACAGAGCTGGAGAAATCTCTTAGGGAAAATAATTGTGGATGGAGATAGTCAACTAATCATTTGGAACCTATGAATTCCCTACTCAGCTCTCAATACAGCACATACACACTGGGTTCGGGGCCTACATTCGCACTCCCTGGGGGTTTCCTTTCCTAGCAGCTATGAACGTTAAGCTGAGCTTGGGCTTCCTGCTGAATTAACTGTTTTTGAAGTATGTTTGTTTGGATTTTTTGTCTGCAAGGCCTCCTGTGTCACCAAAGTCCCTCTCTTGCTTTACAGCAGGGGTGGGGAACTTTTTTTCTATCACGGGCCATTGACCCACAGAAAAAAATCAGTCACAGGCCACTCACCCGCAGGGGGGTACGGGCGTGAAGGCTCGGGGCTTCCCCCTGCAGCAGGCCAAGCCGGCGCTCGTGGCTCCAGACCCACACTCAGTGGCACTGGAACAATTTTTACAGTGGGGATGCTGAAAGCCAGTGGTCCCCAAACTTTTTACCTGGCACCCCCCCTTACCCCTGTCTGTGCCCCCTCTCCCCAGAGCTGGGGCCAAGACTGGGCCGTGGCTCGGGGGGCGGGGGGGGGCGAGATGTGGACAGGGGTAAGGGGGCTGAGGCTGGGACCACAGCTGGGAGCGGGAGCAGAGACCTGGGTGCCGGGCCAGCAGACGGGACCCCACGTGCGGTGCCAGGGGCAGAATCCCGGGCGGGGGTCCAGCAGCCAGCTGGGACCCTGGGCGTGGGGCCGTGACTGGGACCCTGTGCAAAACTTGGGGGGTGCTGCAGTACCCTCCGCACTCCTAGTTCTCACAGCTCTGCACAGAAGCTCAGGGCTTCAGTACTCGCAGCTCCAACCCTCCAGTGGGTGGAGGGGTGCTACAGGCCAGATTAAATTTAGCAACAGGGTGTATCTGGCCCATGGGCCGTAGGTTCCCCACCCCTGCTTTAGAGATTCTCCACCTTTTATCCTCCTGAGCTGGAGATAATGAGACCACCAGGGCTGTCAGGAAGGATGAGCCAGTTTACTAAGTACTAATGGTTCAGGGGCAAATGTAAAGTTGATTAAATGCTAATCAGTGAAAAAGTGTCTGTGTGTGGGTCTGTCTGTGAATTATGTGTTGGTTTCAGAGGGTTTCTCTACACAGCAATTAAACACCCGTGACTGGCCCGTGTCCCCTGACTCCGGCTCACGAGGTTCGGGCTCAGGCTGGAGCCTGGGCTCTGTGACCCCCTCCCATCGCAGGGTCCTAGAGCCCAGGCCTCTGCCCAAGCCTGAGCATCTACACCGCAATTAAACAGCCCCAGTGCCCGAGCCCTGCGAGTCAAAGTCGAGTGTCATGGGCCAGCCACAGGTGTGTAATTGCTGGTAAAACATCTGTGGGTCTGTCATGTAACCTTAGGTCATGTGGTTAGTTTTTAATGTTTGTAGTTAGTTTTTAGTGATGTGTGTAACGATTTGTATTGGTCTGAATTGCACTTAACCTCCTTAACTAGAACTGCATAAAGTTTGTTTTCTTTTCATTTTGCTTTTGTGTTAGAACATTAACAATGTGAATATATCCCTAAACATGACAACCTGACATTTCATCTTTTTCACCCTTTTCTTCCTCTAGACTCACTGTCATCTAAACCTCAGTGGGACAAAGGTAAATTTCTGGGATCAAAGGGGGAGTGAAAACTTTCATATGAATTATGGTGGCTCATTGGCAGCACCATAGTTCAGGTTTTGTTTCAAGTTTGCATTTGACAGGAGCTGAGCAACAGATTACTGGTGGCTGCCCAAAGCTTTCCTAAAAACAGAAAAGTCGATTCTTTCCTCTCTTAGAATTTGTAACTAGTGGTTGGGGTAACCAGATGGGCTGGGGCAGTGAGGAGCTGCCAAAATCGTAACAACCGGTTCCCTCCTCACCCCACGAGGGGGTCATGGCCCACCTCTCGGGACTCCTGTCCCATCCAACCCCCCGCGTTCCTTGACGCCCCCCCCCAGGGACACCTACCCCATCCACCCCCCTTCCCTGTCCCCTAACTGTCCCCCGCCATCCCATCCAACCCCTCCTCTCATTCCTGATGGCCCCCCAGGACCCCTGCCCCATCCAACCACCCCTTCTCTCTGTCCCCTGACTGCCCCTGGAACCCCTGCCCCTGACTGCCCCCCGCCGCCCCATCCAACTCCTGCCCCTTCCTGACTGCCCCCTTGGGACCCTTGCCCCCATTCAATCCCCCTGTTCCCTGCCCTCTGACCACCCCAAGCACTATCCATCTCCGCACCACCCCCTGAACTCCCCAGCCCTCTCTCCAACACCCCCTCCCTGCTCCCTTACCGCGCTGCCTGGACGTGGCTGGCGGCACTACAGTCCCGGGGGGCCGGGAACGCGGGGCTGGGGCAGGAGTCGCGCGGCCAGAGCCCGGGGACGCGGGGCCGGAGGACGTGGCAGGAGCCGGGTGGCCGGCTGGAGCCAGGGAGGGCCGGAGCCGGAGCTGGGGAGGGCCGTGGCAGGAGCCGGGTGGCCGGGCAGGTCCGCGGCTGGAGCTGGGGAGGGCGGCCGGCTGGAGCTGGGGAGGGCTGCGGCCAGAGCTGCGGGGCCGGGCCGCCGCCACACCCAGACCCGCGCAGCCGGAGCCGGCCCGCGTCGCGCTGCAGCAGGAGCCGGGCAGCCAGAGCTGTGGGGCCGGGCCGGAGCCGGGCGGCCGGGGACGTGGGGCTGGGCAGCAGGGCCACGGCCAGGGACACGGAGCCAGGTGGGGACACGGGGCCGGGCGGGGACACGGCTGGCGCATGGCTCTCCTCATTCTCCCCCTCCCCCTACCTCATCTCCGTCTTCCTGGGCCTGAGCGGGAAGCCTGCTTGCTTCTCGGCCCTCCCAGGCTTCCCGCGCGAACAGCTGATTCGTGGGAAGCAGGGGGGGAGGAGAAGCAGGGTGGAGCATTCATGGGAGGAGGCGGAGACAGAGCTGATGTGAGCTGGGGCCGCGGCGGGGAGTGCTTGTTAAATTTAAATGCCCTTTTAGAACCAGTTGTCCCAAGTGGGACAACCGGTTCTAAAAGGGCTTCGAAATTTAACAACCGGTTCCCGCGAACCGGTGCGAACCGGCTCCAGCTCACCACTGGGCTGGGGTGCAGGCAAGGGGGCGAGCAGTGTATCTCCGTAGATCTAAGAATTTAAAAATTAGCCTTTTGGAAAGTCAGAGAGGAACATCTCACCTCATTCTCAGAACTCTTTATGCACATATATCACATCCCCTGGCCATATTATTATTATTAGCAAATGCACAAGTGGTGCAATGAAGAATGGGAAAATTCAACATACAAAAATAGACATTTCTGTTTGATCTCTCTACTTTATAAGTCAAAAGAAAAAATGTTAAAAATGTCAGAAGGGGTTAGGTAGACATCACCTATTAGCAGACATGCCAACTCTCACAAATTGAGCGAGAGAGATGCGATTTCTGAGTAAAATTAAGCCTCACTCATGATCTCGCGATAGAACTCTCAGCTGTGGCTGAAAAAAAATCCCGACATTTGAGAGTTCTAAAAATGAGGCTTCATTTTACTCTGAAATCCTGTCAGCTGCCCTGGGCGCGGCTGGGGCTCCCGCTGTCACCACCCCAGTGCGGATGCTCCCCTGCCAGCCTGGGAAGTGGGAGAGGGGCCCCCACTGTAGCCCCCAGGCCTAGGGAGGGTGAAGAACCCTAGGAGAGCAGAGGTGAGGCTGGGAGGCTTTATTATGGCCTGGGGACTGCAGGGGGCCTGAAGTGAGCGGGGGCTGATGGGCTGGGGGGGCTGTATTGCTGTTGAGTTCTGAGCAGATAGCGTGAGTGCTGGGAGTATGAACTGAGGGCAGTGGGGTAGGGGTGCTGAACTGATGGGGTGGTGATAACGGGGGCTGGGGGACTGAATGGGGGGGTTGGATGGGAACAGAACTGATGGGGGCTGGGGAACAGGATTAATTTCTGGGCAGGAGACAGGCAGATGTGGCGGTGAGAGCTCCTGCAGCAGGAGCCAAAATCACCTTCTCCAGGACATGTGGGAGAGTGGGCAACACTGATTGTCACATGCGCACACCCTGGGGAGGGGCCAGGGGAGTTCAAACATCAAGAGACTGACCTAGAAACCACAATAGTATCCTTTTAAAAATGTCATGATTGTTGGGCCAATCTCATGAGATTTGATCTCTTGAAGTCGGCAATGCTGTATTAGCCATTGCATAGCCTTGGGGCCAGCAGTGTGGAGTTTGG